CGGGCGCTGCCGGGAGCGAGGGGCCCGCTGGCCAGGCCGGCGCCGCCTCCCTTTCTGTCCCACACCGCTCTGCCAGCGGGTCTAGCCAGCCCTCTCCTGCTTGGGCCGCCGGAACTTCCCGGTCCCAGGAATCCTGGCTTTAACTCCTTTCTCCCCAGTGTGGGGCTCCCGACCGCTTGGACCCGAACAGCGAGGCCCCTCCCTCCTCAACCTGTGCAGGCGCTCTCGCGGGAGGCTGGGGCTGGGAAGGGGTGAGTGTCCAAAGGGACAGCTGAGCGAGGCCAAGATCAGGTCTTAAGACCTTCGATGTAAGATTGAACTCTCCTTATCCTTGAGTTGGGAACAAATATCCAAGCCCGTGGCGACTGGTGAAGAGGGTAGGGGATTTTGGCACCTTGGTGCCTGTGGCGTGGCACAAGGTCTTCCTGGCTGCGTGCTGAGTCTTTTTGCTTTCCTGTAAGATGAGGTTGCTGGTGCTGTGGCGCCTTTGTTACTGGGATTATTGACAGGTTGAGACACAAGATGACTGGGCTATCTGGAGATTCTATAAGGCGGACCAGGGGGGTCAGACAGGAAAGGAGGACCCACTTCCTCCTGCTCCGCAGAGGAGAGACCACAGAATGAAGACTTGCTCTAGTCCAGAGTCCCTGACAAGTCCAATGCGCTGCGTTCTGCTGGAGGACAGAAAGTGGGATGCGCCGCCTCCTCAGTGTGGATTCTGACAAGGGAATGGCCTGTTAGCTCTCTGATCACATCGCTTTGGGGAAGGAAGAACTGTAGCTCTGTCCTTACCCCACCTGCACTGCAGGACAAGAAAGCCTGGCATAACAAGGAAGGCATGGGCTTTGATCAGAGAGACCTGCGTCCTCAATATGTTGCCTTGCCTGGCCTGGAACATGCAGTGATCCTCCTGCCTAGGCCTCCCCAGTGCTGGGAGGACAGGCCACCACCATCCAGGCCTTTGTTGTAAAATAAGGATGAAAGAAACTTTGTGTTGTGAGGCAGTGCTACAAGTGTTACTTTCTCTCTTTTTTTTAAATTTATTTTTGAAACAGGGTCTCACTATGTAGCTCAGGCTGGTCTGGAACTCACATGGATCCTCCTGCCTCAGCCTCCCGAGTGCTGGGATTACAGGTGTGCGCCACCACTCCCGGCTCTTTCTCTTTTTGACCTTCCCTCCTGTACAGTATTTAGCAACCAGGAAGGCTCTGGTGAAAGAGGCACTGACCAGTTTGAACCAAGCAAGAGCTGGAGCCAGAATTTAGGTCCAGGATTATGTATTTGTCTGGCCTCGAACTCACTATGTAGTCCAGGCTGGCCTGGAATTCAGTGATGCTCCTGCTCAGCCTCCTGAGTGCTAGGATTACAGGCATGCACCACCATACTCTTGTCTAGATCTAGGATTCTTGAACCTCCAAACATACTCGTTTTTTTGTTTGTTTTGTTTTGTTTTGGATACCGGGGATGGAACTCAGGACCTTGTACTTGTGAGGCAGACGCAATGCCACTGAGCTAAATCTTGAGCCCTACTCCTTGTTTTTATGTTTAGGAAGCCCCAGAGCTGTTGGACGTTTCTGTCCCTCCCACTTTTGGCAGTCCTGCATCCACCTCTTCATTCCTTCAGGCAAGGAAGAGTTTCTCAGACGTGAACCTGCAAGCTTTGTGCCTGCTGCAGTATACAGTTCCTGTTCTTAAGGAGCTTGTTCTCTTGATACCTTCCTCGGCGAACTTTAACTCATGGTTTTCACAAATGGATGACAGAAACACTAGGATTAGGTCCACTTTACAGAGGAGAAAACAGGTATCAAAGATGAAAGACCCGCAGTGGTACAAAAACATTAATGTCTTTTGTTTTGAACCCCTATCTAGTTCAGGCTGGCCTTGTGCTCCGTATGTAGCCTAGGCTGGCCTTGAACTCATAGTGATCCTCCTGCCTCAGCCTCAACTGGGAGCAAACTAATGACTTTGGGGATCCAATCTGTGTTCGAAGGACTTCCAATCTACTATGAACGTACATAAAAAGTTGTTTTTGATATCTGTCCTTATTATGATCTCTCGCTCCGTTCGCCAATATTTTCCCTGCTAACAAAAACACCCTTTCCCGGAACCCTAACGCCAGTCAGTAAGGAACAGGATACTGAAGTAAAACCTCCTCACCTCACCTACCTGACCCAATGCGACTTCCGCCCACCCGGTAACCACGTGATCAGCCCTTACTGCGCATGTCTAAAGGGAAGTGGGACTGTACCACTTTGCCCTACCGAAGGGGTATAGTTCTAGGTTTTTAAGTTAAAACTATTTCTCAGTACTAGGTTTCTATAATTACGGGTCTTCTAAAAGGATATAAGTGGGACTGAGATGGAAAAGAAGATAAACTGGCAATAGGAAATGCAGACAGAAACGGAGTGTGGTTTGGGCTCTCCCCTCCCCACATAATGGGAGAAGCCAGGCCAGACCGACTTCTTTCCTTTTGCTGCGG